TCGTCCCCGCCCGAACCCGGGGCCCCGCGGGCCGCACACGCCCCGCCGCGGGCAAAGTTGTGCCTGAGGGGACCCACGGGGTGCTATTGAAGGTAAACAAGTCGGAGGGCACGTCAGGAAATTAGCAAACAATGACACCGGGGAGCCGAGCCCGCTCGGGGGTGCCGCCGCCACCGCCGCGGTCGCCGCTGGGCTGGGGTGGCTGAGGGTTTGCCTGGCCGGCAGGCCGAGCATCTACTGGGATTTGTTTTTGTTTTCGTTTTTTTTCCCCCACCGCGCAAAGAGAAGGGGGTGGGGGGAAGATGATCATTGTTCTTTTTAAGAAGAATCAGCTCATTAGGGATCCAAGCTCAAAACAGAAATTGTTGACATACAGCATCTTTTCTAGTTGAGTGATTTGGGTGGAAGGGTGTCTTAAGACTAGATGCATACCAGTCAGACAAGTGTCAGTACAAGAAAGAAAGAAAAAAAAAAAACCCAACTAGGTCCTGCCGACTAACAGGTGTACAGCACACTCTTTATGCCTTTATTTTGTTCGAGGAGGAGAAAGTTGAATAGTGTCTCCTCCGGGTTCTGTTACTTGTTCAAAGCTATCTTCCTGATTGGAGTCTTTTTAAAAAAAAATGATGACAACTCAAGATAAAGAATACACCTGTCAAAATGCCTTGTGTCACCTTAATAAATGAGAGGGGTGACACCCCCCCCCCTTCCTGTCGCAATGGCACAAGTCCTAATACTTGTTTCAGCCCACCCTCTTTAAATATCTTTGGATCAACTTGAGGTCAAAGCCAAATCACAGAATCTGTCCACTTTTCCCTGAGTGATTTTTATCTAGCGTTGGCATCAGAGTAGAGAGCCACGTGATTGTTCCAAGGGCCTGCAGAAGTCACGTGTAAACAGATGGACACTGGAGGGTGATTTCAAGCCATCAAGTTTTTCAAACTCAGCTAAGCTAAAATGAGGATTCTAGAAAGCCCACTTTTGGTTAGTCTGGAAATGGTTTAATTATAGACATTTTGAGGATCTGCTCATCTGTGTTTCCCCTAATTTAGTTTTGTACTGTTTAATGATAGAGGCCTGAAATAGTGTATGTATTCAAAATATTTGGCTACTCTTTCTTGGTACACCCCACCCCACCAACAAGGATGTTGATTACTCGGTTTTTGTACTTTGTGAATCTGTCCATGTGTCATGGCCCAGTTGATACAATGTGCTCCTTTCAGGAATCAGGCTGCTTTCTTATTAATGACCTCAGGGGACTTGTTCTATCTTAAAAGAGAGGGTAGTTTGGTTGTGTTGTCCTGTGACATCTAAGGCAAACAAACCCACCCAAGTTTGGATAGTTGAGGAAAAGAGACCTCCGTTTTCATACCTGAGTGATCCCACTTTGTAAAGAACCTCGTTACCAAAGTGCTGTAGCTTCCACAGGAGATTCTAAGATGTTGTATTGGAAAATTCAATTGACGTAGCAAGTTCTTCCTTTGCTTTTTTCTTTTTCTTTTTTTTATGATGAGCCTGATTCTGCTGTGCAGTGCTTTTCTATTTTTTTTTTTTTTTTTTTTTGCAGGATAAACGATGGCATGTTCAATAAAGTGCAGTAGTTGAATGCAAAAGACTCACTTATGTGAAAAGTAAAAATCTTGCTTCTTTTCAAAGTGTACTTTTTTTAAAATAAAGCATCAGTATCTTTTTTTAAGCATCAGTGCTTTTAAACTGAGTAAAGAGGCAGTTCTGAAGCATGCTACTATTGATATGTTCACAAAAATGGGTTGTGGAAATGAATTTGGGAAACTCCCCTGGCCTACAGTTTGGCAAGACTTTTCTTTTTCGTACAAATAGATTTGCTATCTCAAAGAAATGAACCCTGATCATTGGTATCTGAGGGCAAAATTTCCTGTGAAAACTGTAACCAAGCATGGCTGTTTTGTGAAGTCAAGGTAATATTTCAAGTTTGTGTGCTTGGCAGTGAGCAAAGTTTGAGTGGTTACTGTTGACTATAATTTCTGCGAGAGTTCTTGAAAATGTACCTATAAATTATACATATAGAGAATGGGAGTCTTTAATTGCTTATTCCTACTTCTTGAAGTCATTAAAATTCTAATTTTCAGTTATTTTCTCGTGCCAGATTATCACCATGAGGTGTATAAGATCTCAGAATTCAACAACGATGTTAATGGGGAGACCAAAGAGACACAACCCATTTTTTTAGGTAGGTTCCTATGTCAATTAATTTTTTAGCAAAAACCGCATGGCGTGGCCATTTGCCATTTCAGGGGCAGGGTGGGGGGACTGTGCAAGAGCGGGAAATGTCTGCCATTGCTTAATGTATGACATTCTTTTCAAGACCTTTCATTTTACAGATTGCCAATATATCCCTTATTAACATTGCTAAAAGTTGTAATTTCAGACATAAATGTTTATTAGTGTCTACACACAGTGCTAATTATCACTCAGTCACGGAGCCAGATGCTGACTGCGCAGTTTTGTGGCTCGGTGCTCACCCCATTTACATTGCATATTCGCTGGCATGCTTCACTGGCAATAGTTTGTGTAATTGGGGTATTACATCTTTGACATCTGGATAACAGAAATTCAATTTCCAGGAAGCTGCTATTTGTTTGGTTTTGCTTCTGCCTTGGGTGGGATGGAGGATTAATGTGCTGTCTTATTATAATGTCCCTTCACCTCTATGGCCTGGTTGCTAATCCTGCCATGACAAAATTAAATTAAATCTATAGTCAAAAAGCGTAAGGAGGATAAAAGTGCGATTGTCTGCCTAACCACCTCCTGATAGTGCCAGTTAGTACTGAACAGCGTTTTTGTTTCCTGGCTGTGTCCTTCTCACTAACATTTGTGGTCAGACGAGAGAGCTGCTACCATCCTTACCGGTTTACCTACCTCAGGGTCAAATGCAGCCTCCTCTAACCCTTCTGACAAGTGGTATTCCCTGTGCCCAAGAGGGTAGCCTGTTTGCCAGGTGTAGCATGAGCGTAAAGCACATACATGAAGAATCTTACATATACAGTTGTCATCTGCAGCCTTGGAGCCAAAAATCAAACTGTCCAGGATATTTCCTCTAAAAGTGCTTAACAAGGCAAAGTGGAGGTAAATGATGACATTTACCTTCAACTGTGTGCACACTGGACTCTGTACAACCCCAGGCGGTAGGGTGAGGGCCAGGTACTGCCTAACCAGGAAGCAGAATATGTGAGAAAGTCAGGTAGGAGGGCTTGAGATTAAGGGCCGGAACTCCCCAGTGACCGGGGATGGAGATGCCTGTGGCTGGATTGCTGCTGAGACCCACGTTGGTGGGTTTTTCAGATGAAAACCTTTTAACATCTCAAGAGTGGAGTGTGCGCTCTCTCTGTTTTGGTCTAAGGAAGAGAAAGGGAGCAAAGGGTGCAGAGGACCAGGAGGAAGTCACACTCACAAAGGGGAAAGAGGGAAACATGAGCAGTTCGTACTGGGAGGGTCATCCCAGGCCCTCAGCTCTTTCCGGTCAGGCAGAGACTGTTCCCCAGACCAGCACCACTCCCAGCACCTATTACTGTTGGGAGCGCTGACCACATTTCAGACTCTTCAGAGCTCTAACCTGGGTCAGAGGAGTTCCTTAAGGACCACTTGATTTAGCCATTTGAGAAAATGAATTTGCCTTCGAGTAGAAATTTTACATTTCTCATGTAAGTGGAACATCGTGTTCTGGATTCAGTTCTTGTGCAGCAAAGGTCTCTTTGAAACTCCTTCCTATTAGTTCCTTGAAAAATAGTGGTGATGTTAGATAGTAGTGAATTGTGAGGCTGAAAGAAAGGATGGAGAACAGCAGGGTGCTGGGACTTGGAATTCAGTAAAATGCAAGCTTTTGGACAGGGCAAATCTTCTTTCTTCCTTATCTGAATTGAAGATAAAAGAATATCATTAAAGAAACAGATGTGGAATTCATCTCGAAAGTGGTTTGTAGAAGGCTTTTGACAACAACGGCTCCGAGATTGAGTAAGTACCTGTTGTGGTTCTCAAAGACCCTCCAGGTCAATTAGAAAGAAGTGCAGATGATTTGGAAGCATGATTTCTAGAGGAAGAAATAGCTCCAGATAATATCTGAAATTAGGAATTGTGTTGTTGACTGTGTTCCAGTTTATGTTACTCTTCTCAAAACATAGATTTATATCAGGCTTATTTCATTTGCTGAAGCCTATTCATAGGGTGTGGATCTAAGAGAGTGTGATACTTAAATACTTGAGAACTGTACACCTGTAAAAAAAAAATAAAGTACTAGCATACAGTACCATGATTTACATCAGACTTTCTGTATTCAGACATGTGTGTTCTCTGTAATGCTCTGCATCTATAAGATTCAAGTACGTGTCTCAGGGGAATAGAGCCCCTAGAGTTTGGCAGAGCTTCCCACATCAAATCTATTTCTTTGGAATATTTTTAGGCAGCTAGATAGTGCAGCATGGTAAAGTAGCGCCCAAGAATGATGGCTTGTATAAGTGTTTTGGGAATTACTCACATGTTTTTGATTTGATTAAGGGTTATAAGAGGTAACTTTACCCTGTGGACTTTGACTTTCTCAAGCTAGCTTTATGAAACTACAGTGAAGATTTGAGTACTGTTTGAAGGGGAACTCAAGTGTTTCTGTGGGGGAAAATACTGTGAGCTGAGCCCCTTTCTGGAATGTGAATGGGATCAGAAATGGATAGGACAGGGACCCTTCTCTGCGGACTAACGTCCCTTGGGGCATGTGGGAATAAGATGGTTCTGGAAGCAATGAGGTGCAGTATGTAGCAATCACACCATGAAGGTTTGAGAGCAGTCTGCAAGGCTCTTTGTATGAATGTTCTCGTTTACTCCTCACAGCACATCTGTAACAGCACATCTGTAACAGTGTCATCATCCTCATTTTTGATAGGGCTTAGGGCAAATTCTGCCTGAGCTTTAAACACTGCACTGTGTGTCTCTCTCTCTCTTCCTGAACGGTGATTAAATGGCAGTTGAAAAGGAACAGGGAAAGGAACAAGAGCTGGTTGGAAGGGTAGGGGTGTGGAGCTAGACCTTGAACTACAGAGATTTGCATAGGCAGAAGATTCCTGGTGAGGAGGGTGGTACTGGCCAACACAGTGATAAGCAGATAGGTATCTATCTTTACAGTTAGACCTTAAGTGAGTGTTGTACTTTAGTTTGGAGAGTATATTCTCCTGTTATCTGAGAATAATCAGGGGAGTTGTTATTATTCCCATAATAATGAAAACTAAAGCTCAGAGTGAAAGGATGTACCTGTTGTGGATATTATTTTAAGGTGTGTTTGTTGTTGTTTTGTTTATGTTGCATTCCTTTAACTCTGTGAAGCTGTGTTACTGTGCCTGTCTAAAACACCTGATGGTCTAATAAAGAGCTGAAATAGCCAAGACCTAGGCAGGAGAAAGGATAGGCGGGGCTGGCAGGCAGAGAGAATGAATAGAAGAAGAAATCAAGAAAGGAGGATCCAGAGAAGGAAGAAGCCATCAGGGGCTGGCCACAGAGTTAAGAGTAAGATTTACAGAAGTATGAGAATGAGAAAAGCCCAGAGGCAAAAGATAGATAGGATAATTTAAGTTAAGGAAAGCTGGTTAGCAACAAGCCAAGCTAAGACCAGACATTCATAATTAATAATGAGCCTCCATGTGTGTTTACTTGGGAGCTGGGTGGTGGGTCCCTCAAAAGAGCAAAAACAGACAACATG